AAACAAAAAAGCTAGCTAGCATTCAGTACAAAGGCCCTAGAAGTTCAGTCCTCAGCATGGTACTACAAAAAAAAAAAAGAATTCAGGAGCAAATCACAAATGAGGCCAGTCTGGGTGCCCCAGTGAGTTCAAGGTCACCTTGGTCTACATCATGAGTCCTGTCTCAAGAAAGAGAGAAAAAGGAGGATTGAGGGCAGAGAGATGTGTGTAGCTGTAAGAGTGACAAGAGCCAGATGGGATGGCACATGCCCACACTCCTGAAAACTGGGAAGTTGAGGCAGGATGATTGCCACAAGCTTGAGGATAGCCTGGGTAACATACTGAGTACAAGGTCAGTTTGGAATACGAGCAAGACCATGTCTCAAATAAACAAGTAAATAAAAGGGCAACAAGCCAGACATGGCAGTTAAAGTAGAAGATAAAGTAGGAGGATGTCTGAAGCTTGAGAGTTCAATGCTATCCTGTAGAAGATAGCACAGCAAGGAATAATGAGATTCTGGTCTCAAAAATAAATAAAGAAAAATAAAAAAGTAAAATAGGATTGTTATGTTTAAAACTATTCAATATTTGTGAGGGGACTAGATATCTGGTATCAAACTCAGGACCTCACACTTGCCAAGCAGGCACTGTGCCCCTAAGCTATATCCCTAGTCTCTCTTCTTTAAATTTTTTTTTTTTTTTCAGGAACTGGTATTTATTATCAAAGACATATCTGATGTCAACAAGATGCCACAACTACAAAAAAAATTGCACACATTGCAATCTCAATGCAAACAGTCAAATGGAACCCCAGTCATTAAAAAAGTAATTCAAATTACCTCAAAAAGCAACTGAATTTTTTAAACATCTTTATACATCCAGCCAACAAATTAAAATGGTTAACAAGAAAAAATACAAATTCAGAGGTCTGGTATTGATGTTTAAAAAAGGCAACTGCTTAAGCATTTCTATCGATCCGAACATCGATCTCTCCGCCGCTCAGCTTCACGCCGTTCATCATCCGACAGGCTCTCTCAGCCACCTCTGGCGATTCAAACTTAACCACTCCGCAGCCCTTGGACTTCCCATTCTCCATCTTGATGTCAGCATACAGCACGTGGCCACATTCGTTGAATTTGTCCTTTAGCATCTTCCACGTAAAATCAAACAGGAGATTTCTCACAAATATCTGGCAAGCCTTCCTGGCCACCCGAGGAGCATGGCCGCCAGCTCCACCAAAAGAGCCTGCGAAGCTTCCTCCAAAGTTTCCACGTTCCATCTCGATGGCACGGTCAAAGCTGGCACCACCACCGCCACCCATGGCCAGGCCCATGCGCTCGATGCCAGCGCCCAGGGCCGGGCCCATGGCGGGGCCCACGCGCTCCACGCTGTTGGCACCCATGCGCTCCAGACCCATGCACTCCAGGCTGTTGGCGCCCATCCGCTCGAGGCCCATGCGCTCCAGGTTGTTGGCGCCCATGCGCTCCAGGCCTGTGGCCATGCGATCCATCACAGGGCCCATCCGCTCCAGGCCGGCCCCCATGCCTGTGGGCACCATGCGCTCCATGCTCAGGCCCATGCGCTCAAGGGCAGGGCCCATGCGCTCCACACCAGAGCCCATGCGCTCGATGGTTTGGCCCACACGGTTGATAGGTGCGGCCATGCTCTCCAGGCCAAAACCCATGCCGGCACCCATGCGGTCAACTCCAGAGCCAATCCGCTCCATGGTCTGGCCCATTCGCTCGATGCTGGACGCCATGTGGTCGAGGCCCAGTGGGCCCATGTGCTCGATGCCAGAGCCCATGCGCTCAACAGAGCCCATGCAGTCCATGACCAGGCCCATGTGCTCGATCTCAGAGCCCATGCAATCCATGCCGTGGCCCAGGCCTGCACCCATGTGCTCCATGCCGGCACCCCCAAGGCGGTCAATGCCAGGACCCATCCTCTCAATCCCAGGGACACTGCCTCCACCTCCACCTCCTCCTTGCTTTGCAATGATCTCTCCTCTCTTCAGTGCATTACTTAGGATTTCATTTATCTGCCCCATGTTCATCCCAGATCCAAACCGCCCCATGTTTTCCATGCCACCACCAAAGGGGCCCTCGATGCCTCCTATTTTATTTATGCCAAATCCGATGCCTTCCATTCCCATTCCTGCAGGGCCCAGGTTTCCCATTCCAATGCCTTTGTTCAGGTGATTGGCGTCAATAGGCTGCCCGCCTGGTCCTAACCCCGTGCCAATGCCACCGAGTCCATGGGGAAGTTGTTGTGGACGTTCAGGAGGGAAAAAATCTCCCTTTGGTAAGGCTCTCTCATCCATTTTGATGTGCATCGGTCTATCAAATAGCAGCTGACCATTAAACATAGATACAGCTTGCACGGCTTCAATGGACTGTTCAAAAGTCCCAGTGCCTATTCCACGACTTTTCCCATCTTTATCCTCCAGAACGTCTGCTCAGACCACCACACCAGCCATACTAAATACTTCCTTCAGCTTCTTCCAGCCAACTTTATAATCCAGATTTGCTACACATACTGTGCTTCCAAGTCTTCCAGCCTTTTGCATTGCTCTCCTGGCACGTTCACCATCAGGATCTTCTTTGACTTTCAGTGGTGTCCACTCAGACTATGCTTGTTTAGAACTTCAGCAGCTTTTTTCATGCTTTCTTCCATCTTGAATTCAGCCACGGCACATCCCCTTGACTTTCCTTCAGCGTCCATTAAGAGCTCCACGTATGTTACCTCACCAACTTTTTCTTTAACCAGGTCCTTCAGAGGCTGCCACTTCACATCAAAAGGTGTGTTCGCAATGAAGGCGCGGTATCGCTTAGTCGGATTGGCATATGGCTCAAAGCGATTGCCTCCTCTTTTTATATTTTTCTCCTTCCTCTTCTCATTCTGAGGCCGTTCTCCTTCACCCTTCGGACCCGGAGCCCCGTTGCCGGTCGGCACGCCGGGCGCGCCGCTTTCTTCCTCCATTTTGGGCTCCGTCGCCGCCACCTCGGCCGCCGCTTCGACCCCTGCCGCCATTTTCTCCGCGTCTGGGCTTTGTGTCTTCTTTAAATTTTTTTTTGTTTGTTTTTTGGCAGAACCGGGAATTGAACTCAGGCCCTTGTGCTTGCCAGGGAAGTGCTTATTCCGCTGAGCCATCTCCCCAGCCCTTTTTTTTTTAAAAAAAAAAAAAAAACAGGGTTTTCTTATATAGTTCTGCTTGGCCTCACATGCATGCCAACCCACCTGCCTCAGCCTCCCAAGTGCTAGGATTTTAGGCATGTACACCATGCCCAGTTATGAAATATACTTTAACTGAGCTGGTAGACAGGCAAACCTACACAAGTGATACAACTGCAAAAAATTTAGCTGGGGTGGTGGCCCATGCCTGTAATCTCAGCACTCAGGAGGATCGCTGTAAATTCTAGGCCAGCCTGGGCTAGTGAGTCCAAGGCCAACCTGAACTACATAGCAAGACCTTGTTTTATTTTTTATTTTTGTATTTAGGACGTGGTGTATAGGGTATACAGGGTCTCACTGCATAGATCAAACTCGTAGCAATCCTCCTGTATTATAGCCTCCCTAGTGCTGGATTACAGGCGCATGCCACCACACCCAGTCTCAATCCCTGTCTCAGTGCACCCCAAGGGAGGGCCAGCACAGCAGGCCAGGGAATCAAACTCCTGGTCCCTATGTCTAGTCAGACACTTTAGTCCACTGAGCTATTTGGCTGGCCCTAAGACCCTGTTTTAAAAACAAAAATAATAATAATAATTGCAAAGAACTTAATACATATACAAACACATAAAAATACAAGTAAAACTGTAGAAATCTGAGTAAGAGGGATAAACTGTACGAGTGTCAATATTCCAGTTGTAATACCATACTCTATACCCAAATGGTAACAGAGCAAGTTTTTAAGTAGCAGCCACAACTGCAGTCATACCTGAATCCTGGAGTTTCACTGAATATTGTTTCATCTGGATTTTCGCCTATGTCCCCAAAGCCTGTAACACTCAATTTTGAAATAACATTAACTTGTACTTAAAGAGTTCATTCCCAAAATAAGAGCATTCCAATTAGAGCTGACCCTTGACTAACTCTAGAGTTACAGGGCCACAGAGATGGCTCAGTAGAATAAGCGCTTGCCTGGCAAGCTCAAGGGCCTAAATTCAATCCCCGGTTCCACAAAAAAAAAAAAAGTTCATTTGGGCTGGTGAGATGACTTAGTGGTCTAAAGCACCTACTCAGAACAAGCTAAGCAAAGCACAGGGACCGCAGTTCAATCCCCCAGCACCACATGCCAGCCAGCCCCACCCCCTGCTGGGCTGAGCTGGCCACACACACATAAAATAAATAAATAAATAAAATTTAAAAAAAAAAGTTACAGCACTGACTCACACAAGTTGGAAATCTACAGAGAACTTTTGGCTCTTCAAAAACACAAGGTGGCTACAAAATTATTTTATCAGTTAATTTTATAGTTATGCTTTAATACTGCATCTTCACATTCATTTACATTTCTTTCTCAGTATAACACCATGTATGTAAGTTTTGGCAAAGTTTAACTTTCTAGTATATGTGCTGCCAAAGCAAACACAAGTTTTAACTTTTTCTGTTTTTTGGATTTTTTTTTTTTCGTTTGTTTTTAAGAGAGTCTTACAGTTCAGGTTGGTCTTGAACTTGTCAAGACGACAGACTGGCCTCAAACACACTGTGATCCTTCTGCCTCCAGCTCCAGAGTGCGGGGATTACAGGTGTGCACCACCACATCCAGTCTTTAATTTTTACAATCTATCTGTTTATATTTTATGGCAGAAAATGATAAAATAAGACTTCTCTTGGGGCCGGGGAGATGGCTCAGTAGGATAAGCACTTGACTGACAAACGCAAGGATCTAAGTTCAATCCCCGGTTCCGTGAGAAAAAAAAAAAAAAAGACTTCTCTATACATTTTATATACTCATGACATACCTACCACACTCTTACAGTTTTGATATTTCTAGGCCATGCAGGTCATCATTTCTTTGAAATCACAAATCAAAATAAATAAATAAATCCACAAAGTTCAAACCTATGTATTTCAAAAATCAAGGTATTTCTATCAAATCATACATGACAAGATGTCTTGGTACAGAACAAAGGTTCTGTTCATTTTCTTGCAACCTTGTGAAAGTTACTTACCAAACCATGAATCTATGTTTTCTGTATCTTCTTCATAATCCAAGGATGTAAAATTAATGAAGTCCGAGGGTGCATCAAAGGAGTAAGAGTTTTTAATGTGTGACATTGTCCTACCCTTAGTACAGAAGAGCAGGTTTTTCCCAGTATTTGTATCACGTTTCTCAACAGGTCAATTTCTGGGGAGAGAAATGGTTCAGAAATGTGGCTCATATTAAACAAGGTACTGACTGATTCCTACACTTCTTTAATTTTACTACCATCAGTGCAATTTAGAAAATCATCTGGACAATATACTTAATCAAGTCAACCTAAAATGCAGGGGTTTTTTCTTCATTTGTCTTAGCAACTTTAAAACACTCCTGGAGGGAAACATATTTCATTGAATTAGAAAGAAGCAAAAACTTGGTAAGTGCTTACAGTAATGCCAGGTATTGTACTAGGTGTGTTGCATCCATTATTTTATTATTTTCCCTCACTGCCATTTTCTTACTCTAGTCCTCCTCTGCCCTGAACAACATTTTTGAAACATATAGATTTGTATGCCTAATATATCAAAGTCCAACTTTCTGTGAATTCTTTCTCAATTCTACCTATCATATGTACTTCTTAGGACTGGGGTTTGATCCCCATGCCACACCAGCCCCACCCCCAGGAGTGCTGAGCCAACCACTGAGACCAGGCATGGTGACACACGCCTGTAATCCCAGCACTGGGGAGGCTGAAAACAGGAGGATCACTACATCCAAGCTGCCTGTACCAAATGCATACATATATTTCTTGTGTTTCTAAAGCCACCGTGTTCTGTTTATATCTTTGCTGTAACTTAATATCTAATTTTATGTTCAGAGTAGACTGAAGTTCCTGAAAACAATGCGTAAGACTCACCAACACTTCATCTGTCAAGATACTTAGCACAGGACCTTATACAAAGTATATGCTAGATACAGTTTTTTTTTTTTTTTTAATTTTTGTTTTTATTTGAGAGAGAGAGAGAGAGAGAGAGAGAGAGAGAGAGAGAGAGAGAGAGAGAG